GGCCGCGCTGGCCTGCGAGGCTTTGCGGCCATGGCCCAGCCGCAGAGCTTTGCGATCTATCGGTACGACCCGGACCAGCAGGCGAAGCCCTTTCTGCAGAACTACACTATTGACCTGAAGGCCTGTGGCCCCATGATCTTGGATGCGCTGATCAAGATCAAGGACGAGGTGGACACAACCCTGACCTTTCGCAGGTCTTGCCGGGAGGGCATCTGTGGCTCGTGCGCAATGAACATCAACGGCAAGAACGGCTTGGCATGTCTCTTGTACATCGAGCCTAGCCCACAGTCTATTGAGATCCAGCCTTTGCCACACACGTACGTCGTGAAGGACTTGGTGCCAGACCTTACGAACTTCTACAACCAGTACAAGTCGATCGAGCCCTGGCTGAAGCGCAAGGACACGAAGGCGAAGGGGGAGAAGGAGTACTTCCAAAGCCGTGAGGACCGGGCGAAGCTGGACGGCATGTACGAGTGCATTCTCTGCGCATGCTGCATGACCTCGTGCCCGTCGTATTGGTGGAACCCCGAGTACTACCTGGGTCCAGCTGTGCTGATGCAGGCATACCGATGGATCGCAGACTCGCGTGACCAGTTTACCGAAGAGCGCTTGGCTTGGGTCAACGACACCATGAAGCTGTACCGCTGCCACGGCATCATGAACTGCACAAACTGCTGCCCAAAGGGCCTGGACCCGGCCAAAGCCATTGTCCACCTCAAGGAGCAAGTGGCCGAAACCTACAAGGACGGATGGAAGTCCATGATGACCGAGCAGATCGTGAAGAACAAGGGCCGTGAGTCCGGCATGATGTACATGTGAGTTCACGCTCGATTGACAAGCTTTTTCAACCTTCGAATCGAGATGAAGTTTCCCATTTTCCAGGCTCTTGCTCAGGGCCAAGGAAAGGAATTCTGTTTGGCATTGGGCCAATTGGGATCCTGTTTTGAGCCAAGGGACGCTTCTACTCCGACTCACGCAAGGTGATGCAAGGTGTAGATGAGTGTCAGTGGCGCCTGCTGGTCATGGTGCCACTGGTAGGGGCTCAATGTGGGCTGGGACTATGACTAGGATCACTGTTTAGCATGGTTTCGGGTGCACTCTGAAGATAGATAGTCTGTTGAAATTCTGAAGGTCAATCACCTGGGGAGAGGTCAGTGCTTCTTCCTGGAATGTGCTGCGTGCAGCGAGCACGCAGTTCGTTATCATCTCCCGCTTGTCGTGGGAGCCAAAAGCTGCGATGCTTCATGCGGGCTTCATGTGTTCTGCAGCTGTAGTCCATCCCTTGTTGTCTCCTTGCTGGTTTGCATGAGTTCTCACCACACCGTGAGGTTTTTGAGCGGGTGAGCGCTTTTCAAACTGCGCTGGGGCTGAGGCGGGTGGTGCAGCTTCCTACTGGCGGTGCGGCCAGGGTGCTCAGCTGGCTTACTCCTCATGCATTCGGGTTTTATCTTGGAGTCCAGGGCAAGCAGTTCACGATAGTCACGACATGTTTTCCTCGCTTTTTCACGGACTGGACTCTCTGGCACATGACGTTTGCCCTGGTGCGCTCCTCCGTACACACCACAGTGACAACAGAACCTGCCGATCCCGTTCTAGTAGAAGTGAAAAGGGGAGCAGCAGGAGGAGCAGGAGGAGTAGGAGGAGCAGCAGAAGTAGCAGTCGCAGGGGCAGCCTCTCGCAGCTGCGGCAGTTGCCTGTGAGTTGTTGTTGTTTGTGGTGGTGGGAGTGGTGGTAGTCGTGTTGGTGGTTGCGGTGGTTGCAGAGTGGAAGTGGGAGAGAAGGCACTGTAAGCAGTGATGTAAAATGAACATTGCAAAACATGAACAGCAAAGCAATCAGGAATGGCCACGCTGGCATCGTGAAGCTCCTCGTCCGTCCGGAACTTCTCGAGGCGTGAGACAATGCGAGCCGTATGAGCCGCAGCTGCCTCATGTGCAGGGTTGGTTGAATAGACACGAAAAGTCAGAGTAGGGTGGCGAACGAGAGCAAGTACAGTATCTAGAACATCCGCAAGCTGCAAACTTCGCGAGTCGCGGCAGCGCACGAGGGTCGCAAGGTGTGGTGGGAGCCAGACATCAGGATAGCTTCCAGCCCAGGATTTTTTACCCACAGATTCAACCAAGTCCCCTTGTCAAACCTGACAGTACGTCTTTTTGCTCCCACATCAATGAAGCCCAGCCAGGTCAAGACTCCCGCCGGTCGAACGGCTCTGCAGCTCGGTGCCCAGCATCGAGATTCTGAAGCAATTCCCTATGGAGTACTTCTAGCAGCCTTCATCACACTGTTGAGGTGTGCGAAGAAGTATGGACACAGCATTGCCCTGAGATCCAAATCTTCAGCTTCCAGCGGCCACAGCCCGGGTAAGGCGGAACTTCGAAGAGTAGCGTCATACTTTAGAGCTGGTCAGAAAAGAACGACGAGGCTAACCCGAGTGTGGGTGTTCTGCGCTGAGTGCAAAGGTGAAACTGCGGCCGTGCTTCAAGAAGCTATGGCTGACGTGAATGTACGCCCTGTCGATTAGACCCAAACTGTGCATCATGTCGGGAAGGCCAGAACCCTGTGCGGCACTCCGCATCGCTCCTGACCAGCCAAGCTGGGCAGCGTGTTGCCGAGCCGCTTATACATAGAGGTAGGGGAAGGTAACCCGGGGGAGCTCTGCCATGGTGCACTGTGCAGAGCTGCTCTACTTCGTGTATCAGGAGGCCTTAGGAGACCTAGTAGACCTCCCCTGGTGCTCTGCGTCCGACTGCTTGCAAAAGCGAGAGAAGGCAACGAAGGTGACGACTTGCGTCAGGGACGGCCAGCCCACTAGCAACGCCAACGAGCCCCACGGGGGTCCACAAAGAGAAGTAGCGGTATTCCCGCTTTTATGTACTGTGGCCTTGGACTTTCATCGTTGCCGTGTCGATGAGTGAGAATTTGAGGACCTCAAATGGATATTATCGAAAACGCCTGGCCGTCTGTCTGAGCAAAATCTCTCTGCAAACAGACGGATGGGGTGCTGGCTCCTTGTGGCAGTGAACACAGCCGCCACTAGCAGCTTCGCAACCTGCGTCTCACAAACCTGCAAATTCGTAGGCAAAGGCAAATTCAAAATGCGGTGCATTTGACAATGCCGAACTCCGCAGTTACTAGACGCTTTTGTTTCCAAAGTTCAGTGGGGGTCTCGGATTCCGAGTTCTTTCAGATTTGACAGCTGCCCTGTGCTGTCTCTCGGCTCATGACCCGTAGCTCACCGTCCTTCGCTGGCAACGGCTGCCAACTCGGAGGGCAGTTTCTCCATAGGGCAACTCATTCATCTCACGCCCAACTCACTTCCAGGTCCGGCACGGATGGTGACGGAGTCCTTCCGATACAGAAGCCCCACTTCATCCGCAACTGGGCCTGATGCGGGGCCTAGGGAGGGCTAAAGTGGCTCAAGCACAGAGAAGGGCTTCGTTAGAAAGCCGGCATATGACTGTGGTCCAGCCGAGGACGGAAGATGAGCCGATGGATCCTCGGCGTGGGGGCCACGGGTGGGGGTCGCATGTGCTTTGTGCATGCTGCCTCGTCTTTTTTTGTCCATGTTGGGGTGTTGCGGCACTGGAATGCGCAGGTGGAATATGCCTACAGAAAACGCAGCATCGTCTCATCCATCCATCCATTCCCATCCCATTTCATCCCATCCCATCCCCTCCC